TTTGGAATTATTTCCAGAGAGATACATTTCTCTGTCTCTATGAGGGAAATGTGTGAGAGAGCAGCAACACAAAGGTTTGTGGGGTGGTTAGTAGAAGATGTGCAGCTCTATTCTATGTTTTAAATTGTAATACGGTAGTTCAGAGCTTTGGTGCACATCTTTAAATCACACTAGATGCATCTCTATCAGCAAGTCTGTGGCTGCCATTTAATATTAACTTAGTCTATACAAAAACAGCCATTCGCTAAAGAGCACTGCAGACTGACAATGAGGAGCATTTTCAGAAACGTTCAATCAGACCGACCCCTCCAAAAAATAGTAGCTTTGTTTTTAGATAATAAATAAAATCCCTACTTGTTGATCAATAATTAGTAATTTCAGATGAATACATGCTCAAGTGAGTACAAGATCCCGATACGGTCCCTTGTTTTAATTAATCCACAGCCCAATTCTCGAATCTGTCTATAAAGGCTCATTTGGGCGCCTTACATAATCTCTGATGCCATAAATAAGTATGATCTTTTGGTTAGATGAAGGAGTACGGGTAAATCTACCACTACAAAGAAATATTGTACATTAAAGTCTGCTGAAAGTTTCATATCAATGACTGAACTACTTTAAATAGTTGTTTTCGTAGTTGGAATGTTCAAACTTTTTACAGGTTTCAATGTCAGGTGTCACATTAACTTTGAACTCATACTGTTAACATGTCTATTTTTTCCCCACACACATGATCCTGCAATCATATGTAAAAACATTTTATGCTTTTACAAGCTCTTTGACACTGATTTGATTGTTCAAATATAACTGTCAGATATTTACCCATCTCTATATGCTGAGTATAATTTAAAGGATTTCTATGGTCACATTTTGTTTGCTTTTGCAATCCAAAGAACGTATAAAAACATAAAATTTGAGGTGTAAAAAAGCTTTAACTATTATAATGTCCAACTTACAGCCTAATTTTGGCATAGTTTTAAACATTTTAATTGCAATCCAAACAAGCGCTTAAAGAATAAAAAGCAAACAATGCGTACACAACCAAGACCCAACTTTAGACCTTTTTCACACTGGAGTCGAGACAAGAACTTGTAACATTAGCTCGATAACTAAAATGCAAAGCTAACAGTTAGCATTAACAATCAGCTACTGTCTTTAGAGATACGGTTGTTGTTATTTATGCACAAAAAACAAGCTGTAGTTGGTTGGTTCGTTAATTAACACGGAACACCGCTGCCTGCAGAGACATGAGGATGTTTTTCAAGCAGGACGACCCTCGGTTAGCTAATTACACAACAACAAAGACATCTCCAAACGCTGAAAAGCAGCGAAGCACAACGTACAATTGGGGAGCAAAGTCCGACTGCACACTGAACTGGAAGAAGAGCTAAATACCTATTATTACACATGTACAGCTCAGTTGGATATGGCTAATAGATTATCTATGTGTGGGTGTAACGTAGCTATCGCTAAGCTAAATTAGAGCGAGGCTAACACGCTCAGCTATTAGATGCGCGTCAGCTGCGCTCAAACATCCAGGTGTATTTAGGGCTCACCTTCTGTGTGTTCTGTCATTCAGTAAGTCGCTCTGATATTATATACAACAGATATTCAGCCGAAAGATGCAGTGAGTGTGTACATGAAACGATAAACGTTGCTAATTTTCATTTATTTTAGTGTGACCATAAATACTGCCCCCGAAAGTTGAACTGTAACAATGGTTCCGGGATCCTGCTCTCAGTCAGGCACAATCAGAACTGACACGGGGTGGATTTTTTAATGTTTTATTATTATTATTCTGTCATAAATTATTCTTCATCTATTATTGATAAACGTACACCTCATGTTTTTCCAGGCTTTATATAAAATTAGATATTTTTTATTTTATTTTTAAAAGGCTCTTAATGATCAATGAAAAAGTAGTTTTTGGCATTACATTCAACCTTCTTATAATTGCAGACTGGTTTTTTGCTGGTTTCCACTGATACGATGATGATTTAATCTTTGTGATGAGCTCCAACTCTTTGAGAGAAAAAAATCCCACTCTGACCCCAATATTCTAAAGAATCTTTTGGCTCAGTTCAGGATCTAACACAAGTATGGATATTTCACACTTACATTAAATACACAATGCTACAAAATACAATTTCATATATTTATGTTAAACTATTAACAAGACAGTTTTTCTGTATGTCATGTTTTTCACAGTTGTATAAATTGCTGTTCTTTTGGATTATTTAGAGTTCTTATATTTTTTTAGTTCTTCACATTCTTAGTAGAGACTCAGTTCTACAACAAATTATATGAAAAATAGATTTTGAGTCCAGTTTTATTAAGATATGTGTAATTCTATGCAGGTACATGTAATTTACGAAAAAATATTGATTAGTGTGTAAAATTAATTTCTTCTTTAACCTTTATTTATGCACCTTGTCTTATTGACACCAATAGGCAAACATGTTTGAAAAAAACAAAGCTAGTAACAAAAAAGTAACAATTCAAAAACAAGAAATGTAAATACTTGATTTAAATAAGAGAACGTTATAAAATATTAGCTAACAAGCAAGTTTGATTTAATTTTTTTTTGTCAAATAAATCTAAGTTGTCCCAAAGGAATCAAGATCCTGTGGCAGAGTTTTGCAAGCTGACAGGGCATATTAAGAACATGCCTCTTTCCATCTTCTGATTGCATCAACAGTACTGGAGGAGATAAAAGTCCTAAGAGCAAAGCATGTGACTTGATATTCCAAGTGACATGAATGAGGATAAATAAGGCAGGAGCACTCAGTCCAGCTTTATAGATGATTGTGTATTGATGCAGTTGTCAGAAGATTAAACATTATGGCCAATTCACCCAATAATATAAATTACAGTGATTAATTATTCAAATTACCAGATAATTATTTTTACATCATGAATTTTTAAGTAGGGGAGTGTTTGCCTGGTGGTTAGAGCAGTGCGCTTGTGCTCTAAGAAGGTTGCAAGTACCTAGTTCAATCTCCACAGCCTGCACTCTGGGTCCGTGAGCAGAACCCTTAACCCCTCACTGCACCACACAATGGAGGCTCACTGCTCCCCAATGGGAGGGGTTAAATGCAGAGGTAATTTTCTCCAGTGTAAGATCAATAAAGTATTACCGGTAGTATTATTAATTAGAGGTGGGTAGCGTACCCAAAAAATTGTACTCAAGAAAGAATAGCACTACTTAATCATACTTTTATTCAAGTAAAATGAAAAAGTATCTGTTCAACTAATCTGCTGATCATAACATCTGATCATAACATTAATATTAAAAAAATGATGGAAAGTTACAAAACATGTAAAGCTATTTGCAAATTCTGACATTTCAGAGAGCTAGGTAAGAAAATAGAAATATAACATTCAATAATTGTACAATATTTTCTGGTTGAAAAATAATTTAAAATATATTCAAATGTTTTAATAAAACTTATGAAATCAGTACTTACAGCAAGTCATTTGTATAGGTTAGAATAATGGAAGTCACCTCCCGTAAGAAGATACAATATACTATTTTCTAAATATTCAGTTGAGTGCTTTATGACACGGCATAGTCAGCCAATAGAGAATAACTTTAAGCCCATATAGCTTAAGTACACAACAGAAGTCTCACTTAAAAATCAACTGTAGGCGTGTCTCTCTAGTGTATTATTTCAAACAAGCATGGTTTTATTGTGTGAAGTTATGATACAGTAAAAGCAGTGAACATCACTATTTTTTTACTTTGTAAAACAAAAAAGTAAAATGCTGTAAAGCTTATTAAAAAAAAGTTTTTTTTTTCTTTTTTTAAAAAGTTACTCAACTAAAGGTAACTGGTTACTTCCCACCTCTGCAGACAGTCCAGTAAATAGGAGACATAATATTATATCGAAAACATTGATCCAAATATTTACACCCAAGTAGAACAAGTAACAATTTGCAAAGGTGTGGGCTTTCAGAAAGGAAAATAAGTACCATAAATACCTTTTTATAGTATGACTATAGGATTAAATTGTACACTTAATTCTCCAGCTTTCATAATCAGTTATGGCTATTATTTTATAGTTATTCTAGAAAAACTAGTGTTGGTTAAATGATTGGACAAGTCATGTAATGGTCAGAAACGGAGCCAAGTCGGTTTCCCAACTTGCCTCTATGAGCACAAAGCACTGGGAATCTTTTTGAGAGTATTTTTTCCTCTCAGTATGTTATTTTTGAATAAATTAATCACATATATGCTCAGTTTAGTTCTCCAGTTGGATCAGAGCCAGATTCTGCTGCGGTCTTTTGTTTTATTTATAAGGTATTCTCTTTTCCACTGTCAGGCTTGTCCAGTGTGAGGGATTGCTGTACAGCCGCTGATGTAATGCAATTAATTCACCGCTGATGAAAGATCAGCAGAAGAAGACTGGATGTAATAATTCTGGTTCTGGACTCAATTTAACAACATTATAAAATAACTAGGATTATTGTAAAGCTGTCTATAAGAATAATGATCTTATCTGTATATCTGCATTTAATCCTTTGAGATTAGGTTTGTTGTAAATATTTAGTATGTAAAAAACGAATTAAAATTGAATTGAATTCTGATTGAATTTAGCTTTAAGCTAAATTCAATCAGAATTCTCTGAAAATGTGCATATGATATGCATTGTTTTTTTTTTTTATCTTACTGATAAATATGCTGTTGTTTTTTTCTTTTTGTGTGCTTTTATAATAAGTAAAAAAAAAAAAAAAACTGCCTTCACAACCTGTATTGGAGATTTCTTGTGAAAAAACCTAAAAAACGTGGATCTAAAATATTCCACCAAGGATGGAATGGGAATACGGATGATTCAAACGGTATTACGTGTTTCTTGCTAAAAAGTACATTCGTGTAGAATAATTAAATATCATTAACATAAGATAGAATTAGTTCAAAGTTAGGGATGTTGAGAGAAGACATATCCGGACCATGATCAGATCGGACTGTTATTGTTGCAACAACGGTTCGTCGCCTTCTGATGATGTCATCTTTTGCGACCAATTTTACCTTTTGTGTTTATATAGATCTTCCTTCGTTTGTTACACGGCGATTAGCTATAAAACATCTTTAGCCGCCTTTGGATATGGACTGGAACACATCTTAGATTTTATTCTCCCTTAAAGACGTTCAAAATGAATAACAAAGGCTGGCTGGAGCTAGAGAGTGATCCAGGTAAAAAAAACATCGGCGGATATTTAGGCTAACAAACATTAGCTTTCCACAGTAGCCTACTGGGCTGCCTATCAATAACATAAACTGATAGAAAGAAACTTCAATGCAAAACAACAAGAAATAACTCTAATGTAATGACTTTTAAGAATTATGCGGTGGGTGTTTTTAAAATAAATGTTATCTCGCTGTTTGTTGTATTGCAGGATTGTTTACATTGTTGGTAGAAGATTTTGGTAAGCATTTGCTCTATAAACTAACATTTCTCTCATATTTAATGTAAACATTAACTCTTTCATGTGGAAAATAAACCCTAATATTTGAAATGTTCTTTTGGCAACTTTAATGTAGGTGTCAAAGGCGTCCAAGTTGAGGAGATCTATGATCTACAAAGCAGATGTCAGAGGTGCGGATGTGTGTGTTTAATTTTGATTTTTTTAGTTTGCTACACAAAAACCCTTCTAGAATTTACATTTACGATCCACATATGTAAAGAAAAAAAGAAATAAATATATATTTAACAAATAATCACACTATTGTCCTAGATCGTGATAAAAGCCATTCTTTTCTTTTCCAGTCCTGTTTATGGCTTCATCTTCCTGTTTAAGTGGATTGAAGAGCGTCGATCCAGGAGAAAAGTCAACACCTTGGTGGATGAAACCTCGGTCATTGATGAGGAAATTGTAAATGATATGTTCTTTGCTCACCAGGTAAATGTTTTTATAGATTTTTTTTAACATACTGTTCTGTTTATTTCCGCAGGTGTTCTTTTAACCCTGCTCCTCTAAAATGTACTGTTTTTGTATAGATTTCTTGGAATGACAATGATACATCTTGTTCCCTGCTATAAATGGAAATAGTGTATTTCCTATTACACATTTAAAGTATTGTTAAATTGTTTATGTTTAATTTATTTAATTCTATTTGAAAGATACTCTCAGTATGCTGGTGAAGAGTCATCCAGGTCATAGTCATTCCAAACAAGTAAAAAGAATAAACCACTGGACCTTATTTCCAAGTTTGAAGACATTTTTCTTCCCATCCAGCAAGCTTTTCCAGTTCAAATGTCAGAAATAGCGTTGAGTTACTTTATACAGTAGTCCAACAAAGCTTAGACAACATGCAAACTGAAACGGATGAACGAGTCCACCCCTTTGGAATGGGGGTCGCGTGGCTTCTTTTGATAGCCTGCAATACCAAAAAAGACCCTTAAACAGAGACTAGTGCATCCTAAGGACAAGACCCCCAGATGAAACATGAGCGTAGTGGTGTATGCAGTTCAGTGCAGTGAGGAATGCTCTGATCATTATATTGGAGAAACCAAGCGACCTCTCCACAGACGCAGGGCCCAACAATGAAGAGTGACCTTCTCGGGACAAGATTCTGCGGTACACCTACACCTTATGGACAAAGGACATTCTTTTGAGGACCAGAATGTTCACATTATGGATAAAGAAAATAGGTGGTTTGAGAGGGGCTTGAAGGAAGCCATCTATGTTAAGAAAGAATAACCAACCCTAGAAAGAGTGGGTGGACGCAGATTTCAGCATTCAAAAACCTACAATGCAGCAATTGAGTTAATCCCTTCCCGCTATCGTCGCAATCCCAAATCAATTTACAGAGGAACAGGCCAACAATTTCCTTTAACAACACTCCTTTCAGAGATATAGACAGGTATGGGGCTCTGCAGGCTAAAAGAACCCAAACGACCCCCATCCCTAAGGGGCGGACCTGTTCGTCAGTTTTAATTTGCATGTCTAAGCAAAAACAAGGCTTTGTTGGGCTTCTGTATAAAGCATCACTATTTCTGACATTTGGATTGAAAAAATTCCTGGATGGGAAGCGAAAAGTCTTCAAACTTGGAAACAAAGTCCAGTGGATTGTTTTTAAACTTCTTTAGAATACTCTTAGTAAACATTTTAAAAGGATTTTATTTAAAGTAAATATTGTATTAAAATGGCTGCAACTTTGAAAGATGTTGTAGTCATGCATCTTGGTTAGTAAAATCAGGAGAACGTCTGTATTTTAAAATGTGTGCTCTCTATTTTTCTTGAGCTAAAGAATATCAGTTAAATTTAGTCATTGTTAAAACAGATGCTTGTAATTTAGTTTTTAGAACATAAGCAGCATGTTTATCACTGTCTGACTTTAATTCTAACTATTTCTTCATTACGGTAAATTAAGATTAGCAACATTATTTCTGTTTCATAAACATTACGATATTGAAACACACCCAAAGAATATCGCATTACAAATCAATACTAAATTTACAAGACAGTTTGGGAAAGTCCAGATTGTGAGGTCAGCCTAATCTGCAAAAAACTGTAACATTACACTTTGCAAATATAGTAAGATACAAACTATTTTTGTTTTGCACTGATTTCTAAATTTTAAAAGTCCACCAAAGCGCTAACTTAATAGGAAACAATTTGTTTTCCTTCTGAGATTTTTAGAGTATTTTGCTCCTCAAAGCATTTATAGTGGTTGGTATGCAATAGGAAAATGCAGGGTATCTGGAAGTATGGGTGCTCCAGTACAATGTTTCTGCTTCTGATATGGTATCAATTTTACAGATTTGTGTATTGAAGATACTGATATTGACTCGGTATATCAGCAGAAATCATTCATATTTCTATTGCATATTTTGTCATGTGGAATGTTTCCACCAAAAAAGGTCCCACCGAGCTGTTTAAATAACTGAACCATTTTTTATTTATAAACTTTATGGAGAAGCAGATTGTATCTACCAGCTTGCTGATATTACAGATTTTAGATACAGGGTATATATTTATATATATATTAGCAAAATATATATTTTTGAGCAAATTCTCTCCCTTTTTTTGAGTAGCTACATTATAGAAATGAAAAACTGTGGTTGTAATTGTTTAAATTGAAAAGTTGACTTTAAGTAATTCTTTCCAATTATTCTTCTGATTTGTTAAATAACCATATATTTTTTTTTACCAATGATTTTAAAGTAAAAAAATAAATTAAAATATTCATATGTTTTGTTTACAATTAAAACTTTTCATAAGAAGGTTTCATTTAGTAGACCGTAACATGAGAACCTGTGTTTAGTGTGGCAGGTGCATTCACTGATCAATCAGAGGATTTTAGCATTTTTCCCATTTTCCATCAGCTTTAATGCTTAACTGTATGCTGGAAAATTGCCCTTTATTTTTAATTGCTGTTGTTATGATTTAGGTTAAAATAACATTTTTGATTTAGCATTTTCAGAGCTAGTGTACTTCGGGTTTTAATTAAACATTAGATGGTAAAGTTCCACATTATGGCATATTAAATTCAAATGCAGAATCAAGGTTATAAGCAGGCACAAACCTTTAGGAAAAAGGCAAAACACAACTAAAGTTGTATACAAATTAGATAAAAGGTGTAAAATGTAAATACATGGTAAAAATCACAACTTGAACAACATTTCTGTCTCCACAGCCACAACCCCGCATCAAACCAGCACAACATACAAATCAAATAAAAGCATGGCTTCTGTACAATTGCGCCATGTGCTTCAGTTTCCTCAACCTTTCAGCCAGAAACTAGTTTTAAAAATATCTCTTACCTTTATTGTTTCACCAAATTTATTTAAATAGACCTTGTAGAGATGCATGTATTTTAATTGAAAGAAAATGGGTCGAACGAAACTCATTAATATTTTTATCTGTCTTTTTCAGCTGATACCAAACTCATGTGCTACTCATGCTTTGCTGAGCGTCCTTCTGAACTGCAGCGGAGTCGAGCTTGGTACCACCCTCAGTCGCATTAAAGCCTTTACTAAAGGCTTCAGTCCTGAAGTAAGTTATACCTTCACTCAACCATTAACATCTACTTTCAAAATATTGTTTATACCCATACAAATAGCTGAGACCTTTTGAGTTTTTTCTTTTTATAGGAAATGTAAATATAATATGGCGATGAGTTAAAAAAAAAATAATATTACGAGAATAAGGCTTAGTGTTTCAAGAATAAAGTCATGATAGAATAAAGTTGTTAGATTATTAGACCTTTCAGGAAACAGAACAATATCTGATCAGCACAGCCAAACTACCAAACAGCAATCTGAGCTGTTTGTCAAGATAAGAGCCTAATAATTTGATGCTGATGGGCTAAACGGTTTAACTTTTCCTTATTGTAAAACTGATACGAAAATATAACTTCACAAGATTCTCAACAGTCCTCATTTCAATACAGGGGATGGCAGTGCAATATCTCTTATTAAAAATTATTGACTTTATTCTCATGTTATTCTGTTATTAAGCTGATAATGACTTTATTCTTGAATGTTATAACTTAAATCTTGTAATGTTACAACTTTATTCTCATAAATTACAGCCTGTCAGATATCTCTTTAGTTTGACCCTAATACTCAATCGTATCATATAAATGATTCTACCATATGCATTAAAACACAGCACACCATTCATTGTGATATTCTAGCTTTATTCATCATATGCTTCACATTCTCCTTTTCTAAACAAGTCTTTACATGATATACTTTTCTTTGCTTCCAGAGCAAAGGCTATGCTATAGGTAATGCCCCGGAGCTGGCCAGGGCTCATAACAGCCATGCCAGGTAAGCTACAGTCAGTGATATAACTTTCAGATGGTTTTGGCTCTGAAGAGGGAAGTAAAGAAATGACGATCAGACATGTTATGTAATATACTGGCTTTAGTGCATGTAGCATTATCTGAAACTCCTATTTTTCGTGTTTCTATGGAGACCGGAGCCCAGACACCTGCCTGAGAAACAGAATGGGATCAGTGCAGTGCGGACGATGGAAGCCTTCCACTTTGTCAGCTATGTGCCAATCAAAGACCGACTCTTTGAGCTCGATGGGCTCAAGGCTTACCCCATTGATCATGGTGAGACTTTACTTCTAGTATAAACACTGTGTATAACTCCTTTACAGAAGTCCACAAATTAATATCTGGCATTCTTGATGATGCCATGATTTCTGTTCTCTGCCAAAAAAGTCTTATGAAGAACATCTAACTACTGGTTTGTGACATTACATGAGATACATAACAGAGTAGTAATTTGAACCCTCAGGACTAAAAGGGTGTAACTAAAATGACAGTTTCAGAGTGGCCTAGTCAAAGTCTAGAATCAAATCTGATTTAGATGTCATGTTAAAAGGCTGTTAATGCTTAAAAGTAGGGCTGAAACAATCGAATGAATCATTATTAATCGATAATTGAAATAATCGTCAACTGATTTTGTAAACAATGAATCATCTACTGGAGTAAAACATGCCTTTAGCTGTCAGAGCAACCCACTTAGAGCAGTAATTATACCAAATTTGTAAAAAAAAAAAATTTTATATATATAAAAAAGATAAAAAAAACAAAAAAAAAAAACATTTTGCCTTTCAATGTGCTCTATCCTGAACTCCTCAATTGGAAAACTTTTAGTTTCACCTGGTTTGATTTTGTAAAAATCTTCTTTAAAGAACATTTAGATATCCGATTATTAATCGATTATTCGAAAAATTAAATCAACAGAGTATCTGATTTGCAAAATAATCGTTATTTGCAGCCCTACTTAAAGCTTTCCATTTTAGTGTAATTAAAACATTTCTTTTAGGAAGATGAAAATGTATCCACGTTGATTTTAAAGACTCATACCGAGCGTCAAACAAATGTCACTATTACTGGTGACACAACTTCGATAAATAAAATAATAATCTTAGAAATGCATTTTTTAATTGACTTTAGGTTATCTGTAGTCCAAGGTTAATTCATAGTGAAATGGCCAGTCCGTCTGAGAAGAAATGTTTTTCTTTTTTTGTTTACTTTCACTCTATCATCACATTTAGGGCCGTTTGGGGGCTGTTTAAGTTGTTATGCTCTTAAATGATGTAGATTTATAATACTATCCTTTAGGGCCCTGGGGAGAGGATGAGGAATGGACTGACAAGGCTCGCCGTGTTATTATGGAGAGGATCGGCCTGGCCACTGCTGGGTGAGTCACGCACCATTTAACAAAAAGCAGTAGTGCTTTACCTTCTATGCAAGCCCTTCGGGCTTAATTTTAATGCTGCTGCTCTTCCTCTTCCCAGTGAGCCGTACCATGATATCCGCTTCAACCTGATGGCAGTTGTGCCTGACCGCAGAATGAAGTATGAGTCCAAGCTGGAAATTCTAAAGAGGAACCGACAGACCATTCTGGAGGGTCTGCAGAAGGTCAGAACAGAACCAAACCAAGTTTCAGGAAGAAATTGTATTTCATCTCAGTGGGAATCCATTAGTTATGTTCAAGGGAATTCAACTCTGATCAAGCAAGAGCTTCTTGAGTCTTCCTTTTGAGTCCTGTCTGTGTCTAAGGAAGACGTGGAATAGTCTGTTATAATATGTCATCCTGTCTTCAGATGATCCGTCTCACTCAGCCAGATGCTGTCCAGGATAAGAAGCAACAAAACTCCTCCTCTCCAGATGAAAGCACCATCAAAAAAGAAGCAGATGCAGGTACTGTGCCTCTAGGTAACTCTGTTGACTTGATATCAACAGATACAGGCCAGTGCTAACTGTTCCGATGTTTTAAGGCTGATTTAAGCAGATTTTTTTTTCTTCCAACATTGACATGATAAAAATTACAGATTGATAGCGAATGACAAATCAAACAAAACTTAAACAAAGAATAACAGATGGAGGGAGCGGCTTTGCATATGATTCACTTGATCACAAGGCATTGCTGCTGATTGCACTAATGAATCGGCCATTACATGCATGTGTGGGATACTGATACATGGAAAAAAACCCATGGTCAAAAACATCGGCCTGCTGATATATTGTCTATCTGTTCTGTGGACTCCCTTCCTTTTAATCTGTTAAGCCACAGATCTGTATACAATGGAAGAGAAACAAACCATAAGGGAAGGAAGGGTGACGCTAGTCAGAGTTGAGCTAAAGGTAGGGCAATAGATAAAGAAAACCTGAAAGATGCTACAAAGAATTGGGGACTGGGAAAGTTGGTTTCTTCTTCTAGCAGAACAATGACCCCTAACATGCAGCCTGACCTGGCAGTGATGGTTGAAAACAGAGACTAGTCCATTCAGAGTTAATTAAGAATGTACGGGAAAAACTTTGCTGTTCAAAAACGGATCCATAACTCTTATGTTGTAGACGTTTATATAAAAACTGTCAAACTCATAAAAATGCACCATTTGTATTCTAGATTCAGTGGAGGATTCAGGAGCTCAGTCCAAGGATGGAGCTGGAAGTTCAAAGGTCATGGGAAAACCACCAGCCACCGCAGGAGGAGGTGCTCAGCAAGTCAACCCCATCGTTCAGCGCCTGCCCGCCTTCCTCGACAATCATAACTACGCCAAGTCCCCGATGCAGGTAAGAAAACCTGAGGAAAGTGCATTTATTTAAGCTGCTATGATTGTAATGAAATTGGACTTGCAGTCAGGACTCAGGAGTTATTTTATTGAGCTTATCCGCAGCTTTATTTTAGATTAGACGCTCATTGAAACTGTAAAATCAAATCAAATGTCCGGCTCTCCTGGAAAAAAAAAAAAACACTCTTTAGATAAAATGTGTAAAGCCATCGTTATTTGTAAACATTTAATTTGCAGTTTCGACCCTTTAAACCCAATACCATATATCATTCATATCTGTCTGTTTGGATTTACAATTTCTTGACTCTTTTTACTTGTGGGCGTTCAGGACAACACTTATCCTGCAAACTATTTGAATTTTGTTTTTTCTAAACGTTTAATGTTTTCAGTCTGTTGCAGAAATAACATTTCTGTGTGGACATTAATGCTCTGATTCTCAGGAGGAAGAAGATCTTGCAGCTAAAGTTGGACGCCCTCGGGCAACTGGCCCCCCCCAGTCGCAGTTCTCAGACGATGAAGACGAATTTGATGAGGATGAAGAAGAAGCAGCAGGTTCTGCAAGTGCTTCCAGCAGGCAAGATAAAACAGAATTTTTTTTGCAGAAAGTAAAGCTGCATGTCATCCCAAACTGAAAGATGGTGGACACACCAGGTTATGAAGACCTTCCAAATCTAAACTGAACAAACGTTTTATAAGAAATCACACAGAAGTTTGTGGTTGTGAATTGTAAGATGATGGTGATGAATAAAAATGCTGAATATTTGAACAATCAATGCTTTTTTGTTCATTATTATAGATCTTTCAATGATAATTTTTTTGTGTTGTTTTGCTTATAGGTTTAGACGAAAGGCAAGCCTGCGGTCCAGAGCAGGGCGTGTTGGAACTGGGATGGAGAGCCAGATTGCCCTCAATGTTTTGGCTGAGAAGCTGAAGAAGGAAGCTCAAAGAAAAGATGGCGTAAATACCCCGCTGTCTGTGCGCACTGAAGGTCGCACCGGGGGTATATGCATCACGTCCGCCTCGCAGCCTTCCCCCACACCCAGCAATGAAAGCACAGACACAGCCTCTGAAATTGGCAGTGCTTTCAACTCCCCACTGCGTTCCCCGGCTCGCTCCCAGGCGGCCACGCGTCCGTCCAGCCCAGTCGCTTCCCATCTGTCCCGTGTGCTGTTCGGAGAGGAGGAAATGTTGAGGTTGGACTCGAGGCATAACCGGGCTGTAAGAGAACTTGGTCCATCAGTCAGCGCATCTCTGCTACACCTACAGGAAGATGGAGTCATTTATGCTCTTCCTCCATCTGGTGAGAGCACAGGAAGTGAACATTTCGGTTTCTTAAGTACAACTTAAAATCCTAATTCATAGCCAATGGGCTGCATCTTTCCTCATTACCTGTACAGGAGACTCTGCTGAAGGCACGAAGCCCTGCACCCCTGAGAAGGTAAAACTCAAAGTAAAAGAAGATGAAAAAGATGGTATAAAAGAGGGAGATGAGGGACCATCTGTAGCTGTGAAGAAAGAAGATGAGAATGAAGAGGGAGTGGAGGTGAAACCTGGAAAGGAAAAGCTCAACGTTACAGCATCTGGAGCAGACAGCAAGCCTCCAGGGGATAAGTACTCTCCAAAAGTAAGTCCTGTTATAAAATGCTGCAATACGTATCCCTCCAGTGCGTATTTTTACTGCATGGCAAATTTATCTTTTTTTGCTTGCACTGCCAAGCAGAAGGCTGATGCCTATGATGTGTAAAAGCCTAAGCAAGGGGTCAACTCTTTGCCTTTTTCAGGAGCTGCTCGCACTACTCAAGTGTGTAGAGGCTGACATTTCCAATTATGAGGTGTTTTTAAAGGAGGAAGTAGAAAAGAGAAAGAAATTCAAGGTAAGTGGAGGTGTTCATACACCTTGACTTAACCGTTTCTGTCCAGCAGTTGGTTTCATTTACTTTTAATCCAAAATGTTTCCATTTGTGCAGATAGATGATCAGAGAAGGACTCATAATTACGACGAGTTTATCTGCACATTTATATCAATGCTGGCCCAAGAAGGTAAAACAATTTGTTTTTTTTTTTCCCCAACCTTTTTAAGGCTTATTTTTAAGAAATATTATATCTAACATTTTGATTGCGATCAGATAATTTTTTTTTTTTCTGTGAACTTTGTGCACAAAAACAAAAGGAAAAATAGGCACTCCATCTTCTCGAAGCTGGTTCGCATGGCAAGATAAAAAAAGAAACAACAAAAAAACACACACAATGATTTAAAGAATCAGGGATATAACAGTTTTTATCTCCAGCCACATCAAACATGAGACAATTTGGACGCTCTCGACATGCTTTGCGCAAAGTTTACAGGCTCATCTAAATTGCGTCACTGGTTTCTCTGTACAACAGCAATGCAATGGAGAGTGGCTTTGCTTTATCCACTTTGATAAGTGGGTAAAAACTAGTCTTAAGATGGTTCTATGCAATACAGTACATCTTAAACATCCTCTGCGCAGTCATTTCGTCAGGATTTTGATCCTACCTTTGATGTCACGTCATGCAGCAGACCCCTGCATACAGGCTGGCCGTCGTGGAAATCCCCAGTAATAGCACCATTAATAAGCCAGCCAATCACTCAGAGATTTTTCAATGTGGTAAAAAACTGCAATTACCAAAAAAAATTATTGAACTTTTTTTTGCTGGAAACTTCTGATATTTTAGGTTAATTTATGTAATAATAACAGTTTTGCCATACTTGACAACAATTTTGGCACCATTATCAAAGCATAAATTAATAAATGAGTAACATTATTTAGGACAGTTCAGTGAAAAAATACAAATTTAACACATGAAAACATGTGTTGTTAATGTTTATTATATATATTATATATGTGTATTAATTAAATATATATGTTATATCTATGTAGTGCTTAGGTCTGATATGAAGAAGTGAGACTTATTTAATCATACCCCTTTCACCTTCCTATAGTCCTTAACATCAACATTCATCCTGATTCATACTTCTAAAGTCTGTTAAGAGAGCAAATAAATTAGTTTAGGTTCATATAAACATACATTTATACATTCACATAAATTATTGAAAAAATATTTACACACTTGTTAACCACCCTTCATCTCATATCTCTTTAAGAAAACCATTTTAAGCCTTTTCCTCAACAGTCTCATGCTAAAAAGTACAGTGGAGGATTTTGACGAATATTTTAAAAGACTTAAAAAAAAAAAAAAAAAAAATAAAAAAAAAAAAAAAAAGACTAAAAAAAAAAAAAAAAAAAATAAAAAATGGACATGGTCAACCCTGTAGCCACTCCAGAGGGAGAACGCCTATTAAACCCGTGCGAGGACGTGCACGAGCCCCTTTCTCCTCGTGCACGTGTTTGCATCACTCATATAAATTTACTTTCCAAAAGAAGATTTGCAATTTCTCCACTATGTCACACCACCGGTATGCATAAATGGGGATGAGCACGTAGGGCGGCCTTATGTAAACGTATTACCAGAATGATTGACAATAAGGAGGACCAATTATTTTGATGATCCACCCAGAAAGATACCTTTAAACTTGCTGTAATTCAACACTGACTTTGTTCCAACCTTCACACCATTTATTGAAATACAAATTTTTCCAATTTATTCAAACTTATACAGTTCTTAAATTTAGATTATAGTTGTACTTATACCCTTCCACTCCCTTAGCCATGGGTTTGTAACTGTTTATTTTTAGCTTTAAACTTTGATTGTGAGGTTTACAATTCTACCAGATCAGAGAATTTAAACAAGCAGGAATAAATTAACATTGAATTAGTGTGGTCATGATCGATACATTTTGAGTTATCCTGATGGCTCTTTTCTGCAGTGTGAATATTGTTTTGAGCTTTTCATGTTAACCTAAGTGGAGTGTAACCTCTTTATACAGTATATGTTCTTGTTCAGTTTTATGGTTTTATGCTGACAGCTGTGCAAGAGGAGAGATCACAGCTCTAATGCAATCACTGTTTCCCAGCCAGCGCCATGGTCAGCTTATTGGATTGGTTGACTTGGTGCTTCGAGCTGCAAAAGTTCAAATTTTCAAACCCCAGCAAATGTTTTGGACGCGTATGATTCAGGAGACACCACATACGACAGGATATCAGGCCAAGATTTCCCTGATCCCTCTTAGGGCACCACAGTGCAGGATTATTGCTCGTGAAATGGAAACATTGGGGCAGAAATCTTCTGGCTGTGTGAACCCTCCTTTTAATGCTCAGGATATTTTTTAGTAAACTTCATAATGGATTGGTCTCTGGCTTAATTAGCTGATCAGGTCCTTCTCTCTTTTAGGTAATCCCTGCCCTCGAAGATTTTACATCCATATTTTATTTTGCTTGCAACGTTTATAATCTATCGATGTTCTTGCAGTTCAGGATATGTATATCGATTATATGAAACAATAATCCCTTATTGTCCCAATAAATAAAGGGACAATGAGCTTTTTTCAAATAGATAAAAAACAAAAAACAAAACATTATTTCCAAGTTCAAAATGACAAAATGTAAAATAGGGCAGAAATATTTGGTGGATTTGAATATATTTTACAAGTAGATTTTGACCCTTTTGCCTCTTAGGCAAAGTTTAATGTGTTTCTAGTTAAGCAATGCAGGATTACCAAAAGTCCAGAAACAGGTGTACTTTCAGAAGTTATGTCTGGTAATCATTAGTGCTTAACTTCTGGGCTTTTCTATACAAAACTGATGTAGTACTTCAGGATATCTGCCCTAAATAATTGTAGTGAGTAGATAAACGGGTTAAGTTAATTTCTAAACAGTTTTTTCTCTGTGTTAACTTAGCTTTCGATGAATAAAAAAAAAAACTTCCTGTTAATGCTTGTTTTTTCTTCTTACAATCACCGATTTCTTCATGCATCTTCTACAGGTATGTTGGCCAGCCTAGTGGAGCAGAACATTTCTGTGCGCCGCCGACAGGGAGTGAGCATCGGACGGCTGCACAAGCAGAGGAAGCCCGATCGAAGGAAACGCTCCCGACCTTACAAAGCCAAACGCCAGTAATCACAAACGCTCACTATTAGAATGAATGAGCACCAAGCAATCACTGCAAGGTGAAAAGGCTGTTGCTGCACACCTTAAAATCATTCCTTTTATCAGTGTTGTGCTATATTTTTTTACCATTTGGAGTATACCATCTTTTGGCCCGTACACACATACAGTAAATATTTTTCTGAGTTTTGCTTATTTTTTACTTAGCAGCTGATCTTTTCTACCTTTTTTTATTTTGTCATTGTTTATTTCATGGAATATTTGCTCATGTAGGACAACTGTATCAGAATTATTAGCTAAACGTCAATATTTCCTCGTGCCAATGAAGTATTAAAGGTTGTTTTTTGCTCATTATACTTTTTATTTCATCTTCCAGTGAATCTCAGCATCAAAACATTCAGTGAAGAAACAGACTCTGTAACATACTGTTGTCTTTTTTCATGTTATTTAAAACTGACAATATGACTGTAAGGGTTTTAAATGCCTTTTTCTATCTAAAGTCTTTACCTTATTGTTTGTGTGTTTCTGGAGGTTCTGCAAATATAAAAAACAGGATCTTAGATTGAGTTAAGTTGAATGTGTGCTGCTGCATATTTTTTTGTATATATTTACATGTTGAATGCCCTGAATATCAAAAGTAGTTATGTGCTTGCCACTTTATTGCTAAATAAAGTTAGTACAAATAAAGTTAGTATCTAATTTGTTTTTTCATTTACTTTGGGAGTTTAAAATATGACATCCCAGTTGGAGATTAAGACCACTTAATGGGTTGTTTGGGGGAAATAAAAAGCTAATCTAACTGACTAGCACAACACTAATTGAAATTATAATAAACTGGACAAATAATGCAGATATGTCTCTATCCAGTTTGAATGCAAATGCAATTTTTTATAAGCTTGCAATGAAGAAAGTGATGACTTATTTTAATTTTTTAATTATTGGTATTTGAAAATAATGTAAATTATCAGTTCCTTAGTGAACAAGGGCTTCCCAGTGCTGCTGACATCAGTTCTCTCTAGATAAGGTTGCATTCCTGCAGAAATTAGATGCAGCCATCCCTTTTTAAAATGAGGAGAATGCTAAGCAGATGGTTTTAGACATAAGAAGCAGAATTTATGTACATTTAATAGTCAAAACAAAGCGTGGGATGTGAAGAGAGGTCTACACGATATCTTTTTATAAAGTTTATCAGCAAAATTTGATTTGCTGGTAGTGACGGTCTGTTTCCTATAACTAAATTTATACACTTTTAAGAGTGTTGATCACCTTATTTCTATTTCAGTATATTTTTTTATACTGATCATTTTGCTTATTTACTTTTTTAATGCATTGAAATACACATATTTCTACATCTACATATAAATGAAGTATACATTTACACAAGCAAAATATTTACTGCTATTTGAATTTATTTGCTTTCATATTTTTGTATTGTTCTTGGCTATTTGATATGACAAACACTAAAACAAATAACAGTCATAATCAAGCATTTACATAGTTTATGGAAATGTTTGTTGATGGTGGTCCATGCTTTGGTACTAATGCCTGGGGTCAGAATAGGCTGTTTTCTAACCATACATCCATGTTCTTAAATTAGTTCTTTTAAAACAAGTAGGTTGGTTAATTGCTAAAACTGTTTTGATGAACTGTTGGTTTATAGATAGAAGTATATAAGCCATGTTCACAACTTTTAACACATAAGAAATGGGCAGCTGTGTCTGGCCTGCTGTGTAAGGGACCTAAACTGCTCTTGGGGTCCCCCAAGGCTAGCAACGTCTCAAAGTGTTCTCATACATCAATGCATGGAAATCTCTCCCAGGTAAGTGTCAGGGGATGCAACTCGGAATGACAGCAAAAAAAAAGTGTCTAGGTCTAAATTGTCAAAGACTATTGGTCTCACATTTATGAAAAATGTGTCTATATTTTAATTTGAATATATGTCAACAGTAAGTTCAAAAACATCTAAAGTTCTTAAGCTTTAGAATAATATACTTGTTACAAAGAATTTTTTTATAAATTGACTTGCTGTGGCTATTCTTTATAGGCATTTCCGCCCACAGAACTGCCGCTCACTGGATGTTTTTTCTTTTTCAGACCATTCTCTGTAAACCCTAGATATGGTTGTGTGTGAAAATCCCAGTAGATCAGCAGTTTCTGAAATACTCAGACCAGCCCTTCTGGCACCAACAATCATGCGACGTTCAAAGTCACTCAAATCACCTTTCTGCCCCATACTGATGCTCGGTTTGAACTGCAGGAGATTGTCTTGACCATGTCTACATGCCTAAATGCACTGAGTTGCCGCCATGTGATTGGCTGCTTAGAAATTAAGTGTTAATGAGCAGTTGGACAGGTGTACCTAATAAAGTGCCCGGTGAGTGTATATAGTAGAATAATCCTGTCTTTATAGTTTATTTGCTGTTATTCATAAAATAAATGTAATAAGAAGAATCTGAGGCTAAAATTAATTCCACAAGTCATTAAACAGTGCAATGCTTGGTAACCATAATATTTAAGGGCAATAAATGCACAATAAGAAGACAACAAACCTACCAATACCTGATATATATTACTGCTGCTGTGGTGGCTAGTTGGAAATTACATTTACAAAAAGTACAGCCCTATTTCAAATATCGCCCATGGGCCATTTAATTTCGCTCTGCTGGTTATGAAATCTCATATAATCAATAATATAATTCATAAATATAGATGAAATCTTAATTATATAATGTCCCATTCCGGATGTAGGGGTTTGAGGGCATGGTTGTGTGGGTGAGGAGGAGGGTGGGTTAGATGCGTGCTGTTTATAGGTTTAAGATAGCTGAGCCCTGTGAACGCGCACGTACGAGCAACACAAGTCACCACCCATTGCGTCAGCGCGTTCCTTCGGCCTCAAGCGTCAGCGCGCGTGCTCCGTGCGGGATGCTGAATTGTAGGTGATGATGGCGGAAAGGGAGCGACGCTGAGTTCCACCCGAGTTTTTACCCCAGCTGTGAAAACCACCCACAACCACCGTTTCTCTCCGTCGACACCTATCCCGAGGCCATGGGGAACGAGGCCAGCATGGAGGGGGAGGGACAGGCGGGACAGCCCGGCGCCGCTGTCCCTGCAGCGGGGGTGCTGAATTCCATTTCAGCACCACCGGACTCTGGACAGGTCCTCAAGCCCAGCAATGGAGCACCAGCCGGAGGAAGTGGGGCTGCGTCCGGGCCGGGGATTAACAGGTAGCCGCGGTAGCTAGGGAGCCTTTAACACACAAAGTGTGGACAATGAAGCGAAATTAAAGGGAGGGGGGCTTCATGGCAGCGTGCTGTAGCGTACATTACTTCAACCAGCAGGGTAGATAGAAGCTCAGCCGACTGCGTGTAGATAGACCTGAATGGGCGCTTAATTATTTATTTCAATACCCTTGCCAGTAGTGTTGACAACCTCTTTTTGAAAGCTCTCTTTATTTTGACATCAGATCTGCCATTGGTGATGCGCTTTAAATCGATCATGCAAATCTTACAAGGTAGAAGCAGACATGCGTAAATGTAGCTTTAAGCATTTTAGAAGGAATTTCTACGCCCTTTTTTACGATGTCTGCCTTCGGGATTCAGTGTCATGAATGAAAATCATGATATATATATATATATATATATATATATAAATTAGAAAATAGGTAAAATAATCTAAACTGCATACAGGGGTGGGTCGGTTGTACTACTTCTTCTTTGACGCCAATTCTTGTAAACACAGGGTCATTCTGAAAAACACACCTTTCTCCTTGCCAGCAGCAGACGTCTGTCTCCTGATGACAGCGTTGTGTAGAATGTCAGTGCTCCCATCAGATATCACCAACGTCATTAAAGGTGTAGGACCAAAACATATGTTATAGCCGCTGTCTTAAAGCGTAAATCAGAAGTTAGTCTCAAATGATTATGCTGTTAAATACAAAACAATAATAAAAAAAAAATGTACAGCTGGTCAGAACCAGGCATTTTAGTCCAGATAAAGTGGTGTTTTATCTCCCCCCTGGGAGAAACCTTGTGCCATTCCAGTTGTATTTGTGATAGTGCTGTCCTAGAAGCGTTTCCATCTCTAAACCCACATTGTTGGCTTAAAATGATGCAGCGTAGGCCGATGAAATATTAACCCCACTGAGATCATGTCTGTGGTCACATGGAGCAGCTTGCATGCCCGTATTTTCGGTGTGGGTGTGTGTGAGGGATTACCCTCCTAACAAGATCTGATATTGCCTTAATTACACAGTTCAACAGTTGTAGACCTTAACGCACACACACACACACACACACACACACACACACACACACACACACACACACACACACACACACACACACACACACACACATACACGTAGACCTTGCTGCATCATAGATTTGCCACACCTGCTTGCAGTTTCTGTGTAATAATGTTTCAGGCTAGCGTGCAAATAGATTTATAGATTTGCAGCGAGCATTCCTTTGTACGGCTAAATTACAGAGTTGAGGCTTTGTTTTAGACCATGACTTATGGCAGTGGGAAATTCTGAGTGTTACTTTTTTTAAAAGGAGCCTTGTACTTTTATCGGCATCTGGTTGTTTTTGTCTGTAGTGTCTTGCAATGGCTTTCAGATCTTTTTAGAATTTAAAGACTGATGTTCCCTCTAATTGGTTTTGTGTTTTTCATAAAAACAGCTCTAGCTCAGTCAAACCAGGTGGAGACTTTTTTTCAAGTATCAATTGTACGTCTGGGCACAGTTTTTTTTTTTTTTTTCAAATGGATCGAGGTCTGGCTTTTATCTTTCATCTCTAATACATTAATTCTAAGTTCCACCAGTTTGACTTTCTCTGTTTAAGAAATGCATTATTTTTACTCATAGAATCTTATTTGTTTAGATTTATGGAGATCATGACAGGCAGTTCTCCTTTCAACAGCTTCTCCCATCTGAACTGTGAATCTCCAGCATTAAAAGGGCTTTCTTGTCTGCTTCTTGATTATAGCTTATCTTTTCTGGTCTGTAAGTTTAACTAGATAGCCCTATCTTGGTAGATAAATATCTGTTTAATAATGTTTGATCAGAAAGAACTAATGTTTCAAATTAGTGCCTAGCATTACTTCTATGATTTAGGCTTAGACAAGTTTAGCCATAACTTTAACCCAATCTGTCTGCTCTGTTTGCTGGTTTCTTTGTCTTTCTGAGATGAAAGTTGATGAACTTCCTGTTTATCAGACTTTAACGTCAGTCAGATGCTTCTCTAGATCACTGTGTAACAGACCTCTACTGGAGATACTTTCTACATACAGTCATTTATATTTACAACAGCTTGTTGGAGAAACTCCTGTGAGTTACAATAACATTTAATGTCCCTGTGTGATTTAAAAGTGTTTTTGATTTTAACTGAAATGAATTGAATAAGCACAGATGGGCTGTTTTTACTAATTAGGTAACTTTTAAAGGCAGCTGGTTTGACTGCATTTTATGTTAGGATCTTCAAGTTAGTCTAGCTAATTACATATACATACCAAAAATGTTAAGATTGATATATTTCAGAAAGAAATCATGCATAATTTCTCCTCACAATTATTCCCTTAATTGTGTCGATCTATCACATAAAACTATTAAACGAAATGCAGAATTGTTCACGTCTTATGCGTCCTTTTTGCTAGACACAGTGTCTGGCCTGTTTATTACGTGGGGCAGATTTAAATTCTCATAGCTTCTTTGTAGTCTCATGATTTTTTTATATCTTGATTTCTTCCTGGTATCCTCCCTTAGGTTTCTCATAAAGAGAGTGCAGAGACTGAGTGTGCTAACAAACAGGGCTGCAGAATGAGAAATGAGCAGAGGGAAAGAGAAAAACATCGAAGCACATGGCTGATTTAAATGGTTTTCTTGAGATCATGGATCTGCTTTTCACATATTCCTTTATAAGGAACCTCAGAAGCGTAATAGTGTCTAGCTTTAGACTTGATAGAAGACTTTAATTTTAATTGCATGAATTGCCCGGTAGTGTAAGTAGGGCTATTATATCTTTTATATTACCTTATTTAAAAGTGAGATCCATAGGACATTTTTTGTTTTGTTATGGACCGAATTACCTTCCATTTAGTCTCAGTCAGAGAGCTAAATCCGAGCCCTTATAGCTGTCTTCTGCAAAGATATTTGGCCAACCCATCAGCTTTAGAGAGCACCACAATCATTGTTTTCAACTCTTATCTTAACAGCTTTCTCTAAGTGCACAGTCATCCCAATGTTGACCATTACAGAGGAGTGTTCTGACACAAGCTCCAAGTATTTCCTGTTTACAGCACCACACAGTTGGTGCTACTGCGGTACTGACCTGCAAGAACATTTCAAAGGTCTGAAGCAAATAAAACAGAACAAATGTGCTAAAGGTTCCTCTAAAATCTTAATTGTTTCTAGATTCTTATAACATATTTCTAACTTTGATCTTATTTCCATCCAATTTCAAATACTGAGCATATAACATGCTCAATCTGTTATACTACGACCTGCATGATTGAGAATCCTTACCTGCAACAAGCTATGCAGATTAGAGACTGATGTGCTGCTAGGCTAAAAGTAATTTAAGTTGTAAGAATAGTAATTTAATCAATCGATTTCCCAGTATCTGACCTGCCTTTCACCAGACAGAGATGATCAGGGGAAATGGTCCGATTATGATCTCTGGCTCATTAACTGCTGCATCTATAGGTTCTTTTACCGTGTGAAATAATTTGGGCCATTGCATTTAAAGGAGCTGTACTCAAATAGAGTATTTTTAGCTCAACTGGTAAATGCTGTTGGTTATTTTATATAGCTGGAAGTGTTTATGACTCACATTTCAAACTTATCTGGCTTTTTTAGTGCAGCTAAATATGAACACAGCAGCCAATCAAGTTTTAAAAGATAAGGTTTGCAAACACTACCTGTTCTTTTAAAAGACAGGTATAAGTCATAATTGATATATCGGGAAAGTCTGGTTATGTGTAGAGAGACTTTCCTCTTTTAGTTTATTAGCACCAGTAGAAAATGAATCACGTTCAAATATAAAAGAAACCAAAGCATTATGAAAACAATGCTAGTAGCATCTGGTCAGCTGACGATCCTTTTGGAACCTGTTCTGTTTAGCAGCACCAATGCTGCTAATTAAACTTTTCATGACGGATGTCAGCTTATCTCTTGTGTCCAGTGTGTTTTGGAGTTGACATTTAGAGAGCACCAGCTGCTGTAAGACACTACAGCTCTTTCTTCCCTTTTAGGTTGGTTTCTATGAGCAGCAGTGTGGATGATCTGCAGCAATGACACTGTGATGCATGTAAGAAGTTTCCTGCTTTTTTATTTACACCTAATTTTTTGGTTATTCTTGCAGAAACAAGTTATTTTTTTATTCTTTTCACCTACCATTGGTTTTAATTGTGTTGATTTTTGGCACATTGGTAAGAGATTGTGTTTTTATCACTAGAACTGAGATTTACTGCAGATTAACCTGTTTATTAAACTTTTCAAACTGATAAAAAGGAAAGTTTTACTAAAGTTGGTGTTGATAATAGATTTCTTCATCTTGTAAGGCATAATTAACATTCTGTTTGAGCATTGTTTTGCAAATGTTTATGTATCTTCAAAGCACTTCTTTCTTGTTATTTATAACACTTTTATGTACTAAAATCAATACTTACAATAAATAACCCTAAGAGATAGGCCCCATTCTGACTAGTTCCTTTGATGAAAAAAATAAACATCTAAAAGACATAAAAGATAATGAAGTCTATAATAATCATAATTTCTTTTTTTCTGGAATTTTAACTACATGTCTTATAATTTTCTGATTTTAGTAATAGACCCATCTGTACGCATGCATTAAAGGGGTCATAGAATGATTCTATAGGGTATCTGGTCCTTAAGTTCTCTAAATAGGGTGTGTAACATTAGTTGGGCTGAAAATGGCATATTTACTGTTCCATGTGCCCTAATGCAAGCCTAGTTAAAAGCCCTAGAAATGAAAGGTTTTCTTCCTTTTATGGTATGCTCATGAATGTTTAGATTAGCTGTGCGCTGTTTGGTTAGTTTACATCGAACAAAGCTGCTGAGCAAAGACGCATCATAGCAACAAGCACTCACTCACTGAAACATCGAATTGTCGGTATGGTAGGATGACCAGACGTCCTCCTTTTCCCGGACATGTCCAGCATTTCATACCTAAAAAAAGTTTACGTAAACTGAGAGTCTTCGTTTGGA